TCTGCACGTAGTCAATTATATTTTGTTTAAATGAGTAACTATTACCACATCATTTTATATAGTCAACTATGTCATGAAATCAGTACAGTAGATAACTATGCTCTGAAATAGTTAACTATATTTTTAAATTGTTAACTATGTTACGAAAATAGTGAATTTTATTTTAAAATTGGTATCTATTTTTTGAAAATAGCTAACTATATGTTTAGATAATTACAAATAATGTGATGTAGTTAAAATATTCTAAGATCAATTGAATATGTGGTTTCAAAAATAGTTAACTATATTATTAAATAAATAACTGTTCATATTTGTTTTTTCCATTTTTTTTTGTCATCTTCTGACCTTTTTTTTCTTCAGAAAATCGAATATGCAGTCAACTAAACGTCTTCTCTTTCCTTTTCGAAATCCACTGCCAATCTTGCTTTGGGAAAAGCTTAACACTCTTCATATTAGTTTTGGTCGATACCTCTTTCTTTCTCTCTTTTGATTTTGTTTTAAAGATCAATGGCAACTCTCTATGATGATCATGATGTTGAATCTAATGCATGTCATATTCCGGTGAAAGTAGATAATGATGTATGTTTTTTTTATAGAATTTATTATTTTTCTTTTTCATATGATCTTAACAATCGTTTTCTTTCAGGAACTCCCACTCCGATCATCATTTCATGATGGAGAGATTGATAAAAATAATTATGCAAATGGAAGATTATACAACAAAATTTTTTATTGGCGTCTACCTGGTGAACATGTACGTATCTCTATTATATTTTATGTGTGTATAATTTTATGGCGGTGGATAGAAACAAATTATTTATATTTTTTACGATCTAATATTATATAATTGCAACGATCAAGATTCCAACCACCAATAAAGCCAGACGAGCATAATCAAACCAATTCTATCAAATACCTCTTCAAGTACTTATATTTAGGGAGAGAATACAAGAACAATTCGACTGCGGATTTATCTAAGCGGATTGATGGGGCTGATGATGGTGTCCAGGACTTTGATTGTGTTATCACTAGTGGGAAGTCTCCTTCGAATGAGCCAGTGGATTAAAACAAATCCACATTGGCTGGAGGCTTGGTGCAAGTGAAGATCGAGAAACCTTAACAATGTTGGTTTTAAGRGATTTGTTTTTTGTTTATTTTTCAACTTTTTTACTTTGGTATTTTTAATAAGTTTACCGTAGTTCAATTGGTGTTTTTATGATATTATTTTGCTTCTTTAATTTATCAAAATAAAATAAGACTTTTTCTATACATTTCTTATGCCAAATTTATATTGTTTCATTTCTTCATATTTTATAAAACAGAGTATTTATCCATTTGTATTAGTTAACATATTCTAAAGCATTTTACAGATGAAATTGAT